ACTTATGGTACCCACTATTTCTCAAGCTACTTTTTATAGAATTTTTTCCTGCAGAATATTTTCTACATACTGTAACCATAAAATAGTCTATGCATAATAATTGGTATCACCAATTAACATTGGAGAAGACTGCATCAAAATAATTTGGTTAATAAGTGAGACTAGAACAAGCTGAAGATCAGCGTCCCATTAATAAGAACTTTGCATATATTTATAAAAGAGTCGTGATTGACATGATCATGAGTGTTCATGCTAAAAACTCTCCGAGTCAATACTTATTGTTGCAAAATATTGTTTACATCACCATCTTTAAAAGGTCAGTGTGCTAAAAGTTCATAACATAAAACATTTAATATTTTCCCAAAGTAGATATGACTACAAGACCCTATTTAAAGGTCATACAAATATTAAAGTAGGGGTGGATTTCCAAACATATAGAAGCATAGAACGCTCACCTACAAACAAACAAACAATCCAGTATCTCCTTCTTAGATGCAAAGAGAAGTGAAGTCAAGAACAAACAGATGCCCACCCAAGAGAGAGAAAAAAGATGCAGAAAGGCACCATGTCAGAGAGTACTTACCATGCATGAAAGCCACTGCAGTAGCCAGTGACTGGGTAGAAAGTTCTGGATTATAACTGATCAACCATTAGAGGCTTATTGAGGATTATATGAGAGATTAATAATTATGGGGATCCCAGTAATCAGAGACACCACACTGTGAGATTTACCTCTAGGAACTCTATCATGGCAAAATGACAAGGAAAAATTCTCTCAAGATTCTTGCAGCAGCTGGAGAGGAATCCTTTTAAAATATGTCAAGTATTCTGCTTTTAACAAGGTCAGCCTCACAGAACTTACTGGTGGAAGTTGTGGACTGCTGGGTTTTGATCAGTCTAAATGAACCAGAACACTGGGGGTACCTCATCTAGGGTGACCTGATATCCTGTCCCATCTAGAAGAGGAGTAGGGGAAGACACAATGTACGAAGATTATAATTCAAAAGTACAGGCTTTCTTAAAACACTGGGACTTAAAAAGAGGGCTGCAAAATCGTTTCCATACCCATCTACAGTGCCATTTATGACAACTCCTTTTCTTTATACATCATGCTAAGCTACCAAAAAACCAAACCAAACAAAAACCATAAAATAGTAAAATGTTCAAAACAAACAAAAAACAGGAAATCCTTCAAATACTAAAATCAAAGCAAACCAAACCAAACAGCCCATAACCCTTACAAAGAAATAAAATACAGCAAAATAATAATAATAATAATAATGATAATAATAACAATAATATCTTAGAATTTGACATCCATCCAGGCTTGTGACATATACCAGGATATCAAAATAGCAAGACTGGAAGATTTTCAACAACTATGATTGATATGTTAAGGACCCTATATAATATATAAACATCATATTACATATTATATATTATATATATTTATATTGTATATAAACATCATGAATGAGCAGATGGGCAATGTAAACAGAGGGATAAAATTGTATGAATACAAAGGAAATGTGAGAGATCAGAATTCCCATGATGCAAGTGAGGAATGCCTTCCTTCGCCAGGTCGTGGTCCACTAGGTCTCAGTGCACTGAGAAACTAGGCTCCAGGATATCATCATAGAGACTTCAAATACTGAAGAGCAATGAGAAGAAAAATAATGGCTGAAGTGATCCAAGCCATTACAAGGTATGTAAGAACTGTGACAGTTACAAAGGTGTAATATTTGCATATGGAAGCACTAGTAGGAAAATTGGGAATCAGAAAAAATACACTTTTCCAACTGACTATCAGATACTGAGCCACAGACTGTGAAATTATGAAGTACAAAATTACAGAGCATATATCAGAGAAAGCTCCAACTTGGATATACCTTTCCAACTAATGAGGGTGAAAGAAAAGAAGCTAGAGTCTAGAAGCTGAAGGAGTAACAAATTTTACCTGTGGAAGAACATAGAAAAGAACTAAATCTAGCTTCTCAACCACTAAATATAAAGGGGAAGGACCTAGTTTATTAAAAAAAAACAGTTTAAAGTTCTGCATTTCCCAAATAAGTGTCTAAAGAGAAGACAAACTAAACACAAACAAAATCTGGGGGAATTTGTTGCCAAAAAAAAAAAAAAAGTTCTACTTTAAAGTGACGTTAGAAAAGAAAGTTTTTTTGGGAGAACAAAAATGACATGGGGTAGAAACAAGTTCACAGAAAACAAAGATGGGAATGAATGAATTCAAAGAGGAAACATATTCTCTGCTATTAATTTGCCTAACAGATAATAATAGAAAACAATAATAACATAAGTATATCTTAGTATGCAAAAAATCAGAAGACAATAAAATTCAGTCCTATACAATGCTCAACTTAAATCATCAAAGCCAAGAAAGAGTGAAATTTAAAACAAATAGCAAAGTATCAGCGGGGTGGTGGTGGTGTATGCCTTTTGATCCTAGCCCTTGAGAGGCAGAGGCAGGGGGATCTCTATAAGATCAAGGCCAGCCTGGTCTACCAAATGAGTTACATGATAGCCAGTGCTGTTACAAAGAGAAACCCTGTCTCAAAAAGTAAACAAAACAATCAAAGCCCATATACAGGAAATAGTAACAAATATTATTTGTTTTAACTACATTAGGAACCACTTAGAGTACTAAATGTCTCAGTATATAAAGTGAGATGTTGACAGGCAACACTAAAAGAAAAAATAAAAATATTTGTAGCCTCTAGATGTCATTATATAGTTTATATAGGTTCAAAATAAGTTAGCAAATAAAGATGCATCATGTAAATGCTAATGAAATGAAAGAGAAGGAAGCTTAATTTTCATCAGAATGGATTTCACATTAAGAAAAGCAAACAGGCTTAAAAGAGGGTGAGCTACATAAAAAGAATCAGTTTTCCAAAAAGTAAAGACTATTTGTGAGCTGAATAATGGTACCATCTACAAGAACCAAAAAATTAGAATAGAAAGGAGAAATAGATGCACCAAATGTTCTAAAGTCACAAATATGTGAAGGACAAGCCTTTATCCACACTCCTGTAAGAAACCCTTCACAAATGTTCTCATCAACTGCCAAGGGTCAACTCATTGGAGCCTCTGGCTAGATGGGGGCAGAATTTCTTTGGTTTGTTGTGGTGTCTTATCTGAGGTAAAGAAATGCTTGTTTCTGTCTTCCACAAAATGTCATCAGAATTACGATATATCCACATGCTTTTTTGCTCAAAATTCTGGAATACCCATCACTGAAGATAAACTCTTGCCCATAAATTATGGGCTTTAGGTAAAAATGTTGGTGGAGATTTGCTAACATAAGTACCATTCTGGTTGGGGGGTTGATACTAAAGGGGAATTGGAATGTGTATGGCTCTGTAGAATGTGGAACATCTTATTCTTTCCCTCTTAACTTTGCTATTATTCAAAAAGTTTTCAAAAAATAAAAACCTTTGTAAAATCAAGTCAAAGGGAAAGAGTTTCTATGGCTCAGACAAAAATATTCTCTTGAAGTATTTATGTTCACTCTCTGTGAAGCCATTCAAACAAGTCATATGAAAAACAAACTGAACACATTCTTTTCAGCCATTAGAAATTGTTATATTTTTTCATGTTGACATTAATCTTTCCATTGCCAATAATCAGTTATCTACATCCAGACGAAAGAGTGTCCTTACATGTGGACTGGAATTTGATATCATGTTTTGATCAGCACAGAATAACATAGCATTTAATGGTTCTTAATTAAAAAGCAGTTACAGATTTCCTTTCAAAGATTCAACATGAACATTAATTTAACTTTAATAAGCAATACAGGTTTTTCTCACTTACTGTAGAAATATATATATATGTATGTGTATTTCTAATAAATAGCACAGACCTGCAATATGAGCAGTAATAATTAAAATACAGTAACAACAGAGTACAAAAAGATACAGACTTTCTCAGGTTGCATAATTCAGACAAAAAGATAATCTAATTTTATTGCACTGCTCCATGCCCCCCCCCAAAAAAAACATAAAATTCAGCCGACAGGAGCATTCAGGATGAAGGTCAGTATAAGGAAATCAGTAGCACCTTTAGTAATTGAAATGATTGTCAATATTTCCAGGAAGCCTAAATAAAGCATTATGACCTTATTAAAAAAAACTAAATGATATGTATCAATGAGTTTACCTGCTGCATGTCTCAGCACTTGCATAGAATGTTTGACTGAGATATTTAAAATGAATCCTTCAAGAATGATTATCACTTTTGAGTGGCCAAAGACTTCAAGGTGTTTCCCATCTTATTGTTTGAAACTTGTCAGGTAATCCTCCTACTATATCCCAGACCATATCATGGAATACTGAGGGACTCTGAACAATTTAGATCCATTCCGTTGATCTATTTATTTCCATGAGGAGTTATTCTATGTCTGGCTCTCTCCTTGGCATAAACGCTGCTCTTCTAGAAACATCCTTGTCCACAAGGAGTTTACAGTCTAGAAGGAAAGATAAGACCTTGGAAACATATTTAAAACAGCAGGCAAAACACAAAGTTTCACAGAGGAATTAGGCATTTCTGTCAAATCTGTTGAGAGTGAAACAGAGCAACTCTGGTAGGTTCTTTTCTGAAGCAATATGCCCACGTGACAGACACCACAGCAGGGCAAGGCAAGTGCATCAGCACTCCGGAAAGTTTTCCTAACAATGAGCTTATCATCGAAACAATTTACCCTTGATCTAAGTAAATCTACATAACATTTAACTAAAACAAAATGTGCTTTGCTGTGAAAACAGCAGTTATCTCATTTTGGGGGTCACGTTTATACATTTCTTATTCCTAAGTTAAGAATTGTTACATATATAAAAATTTCCAGAAATTTACACGAAGATCGACTTAGTATAGTCCCTTGCAGGCAGGTGAAAGAAGAGCAGTTAATCATCTTATATTAACTGTGGCAGGCATCCACACTAATCACTTTATACCTTGTTTTCGTTTTTTTTTTTGTTTGTTTGTTTGTTTTTGTTTTTTTCAAGACAGGGTTTCTCTGTGGCTTTGGAGCCTGTCCTGGACCTAGCTCTGTAGACCAGGCTGGTCTCGAACTCACAGAGATCCGCCTGCCTCTGCCTCCCGAGTGCTGGGATTAAAGGCGTGCGGTGAGGCAGGTGCAGCCATGACTTAGATCCTGTATAAACAAGTGACTGGATCCTCTTAGGTGTCAAGCAAGTCTCCCTTAATCTTTACTTCACAGTCATAGGGAATACCCATATTTATGTGACCATGTGATGGATTGCTCAGTGGTTACCAAGATGCAGAGAGAACAAAACACATTATGTTGCACTTGGAAATCTTAGAAGTAGAGCTTAAGGCATAATTTATAATGAAAATAATTTTATAGATTAACTCTGAAGCCCATTCACTTCAATTTTTTCATAAAGTAGATGAGGTAAAGTATATCTTACATGTCCTATTAATGGCAAGGTATTATGTCTAGAGCTCTTCCCCCAAATCTTAATTCAAATTTAAAACATTAAATGAAAAAAATATTTAGCCAAAGCATGGAAGTTGTAACCATTTTTCAAAATTTCTTTCACAAGTGGAGAATTTTTCAACCTAGAAAATAATTCATTAATACATTATAATAAAACCTCTTCAAATCAAGTGAAAATTTTAATATTTGGGAAGATCTTGCCCTTTCACCTTCAGCATAGAGATTACTGTATGACACTGCAGACTAAAGTATGCTATTGACTTTATCACGACCAGGATAGGTAATGCCGCCACTCTTGAGGCTGTTCCTGTCGCACTGATGTCGGATGGTTACACAGCATCAGTCTGGCTGAGTATAACCCACCCACAGCTGCCTGTGGAGGTACAAAGGTCTTTCACATGCCCACAAGTCTGCTGAGCCATGTCAGTTTCTGAACACCTTCACTAACAGTGGATCCTACAGTTGATGTCCCCAGTGACTTAAACAAACACCTGTCTAATGCAGAATGCTGCTTTTGTACTTCGCCAAAATGAATTCCAAGCAGTTACCATGCTTCTTCCTGAGATTTATCTCATTATGGGTGATTTTTTTTTTGGTGTTTATTGTTGATTTCTGGAGAGGTATGAATAAAGGAAAAGCCTAGAAATGCTGTCTATCCAGGCAAAACAGGGTAAAGGGCATTCTCTGACATTGAAGCTTTAGTTACATTGTTTGAGACACCTGTTAAGTGTCTAGTTTTGTCTGATAGAACTCAGTCTAGTACTTTCCCTAACACAGTTTCAGATTCTTAAACCAGTGCATGAGTCATGTCCTTAATTATTTAAGTGATGACAATTTGTAGGAAACAATTGAATGTTCTTTTGAAATAAGGTCTATGCATAGGCAAAAAGGGCAATTAAAGGAACACTGATAAATGTCTATTAATATAATACTGGTATCTCTAGAATGGCTTTGATATTACCGTAATATCATATACTGTGTAAAATTCAGCAGCGTATTAGTTACTGTCTACGACAAATCCAGAACTCTCTAGTGTGGCAATCAGTAGGTATTCTTCAAATTAAATTTACAAACATGACTTTGCAAAGTATGATTGAGATGGTGCAATCAATTATTTAAACATGAAATTTGATATCTGTATATGTTGCGCGAAAATGCATTACACATCAAGATACAATTGCATCGAATGTTCCAAAACCAGCATTTCAATTGGCAGGTCCAATCTCATGAAGTCCAGAATTGCTCAGCCTTCAATCAATACTATGTTGGTGGTAGAAAAACAAATCCCATTGAAACCTGCAGTCTATTTCATTAAACATGTTTTGTATAAAATGGGTTCATCAAAAGCATTATTACTTGCATATACAAAGTAAAAATGAAACTACAAACAACTACAGAGTGAACATCACCGCCGTTTTGAAATTCCATGCTGAACTTAGGGAGATAAAATGTTTCTGAACACCACGCTACCCACACCCTAGTCGTCATCCGTTCAGTGCCTGTTTTGCACATAAAGCTCATTTTCTTTCATAGCTTATTTTGCCATTCAAATTAAAACCAAAGAAACAAAAGCTGGCTTTATCGTGTAAAGAAAAATTAGTCACTGTTATGTTCATAAATTCAGCATATACTAGCCTTCTCCATTACTGCTGAATGCTGCTTACCTAATTAACAGGTTGTCTATGAAGACTCAAAAACAAAAGACCATGAGAACAATGACAGTGTCATCAAACCACCAGCAAGGAAATAATCCATGTGGAAAATGTGCAGCAGGGGAGGACAAAAATCTTAAAGACTTTCATTCAAACATTACAGAAAAAGGAAATGAATTCAAAAACAAGAAATAAAGGTAGAGACAGGAGTGTTAAGGACAACAAAGCACCTGGGACTGGAATAGGGGTGATTTTGTCCAATGTCAATGTTAACTTTGCTCAACGGGAGACTTGCAAGAACGTCATCCATAATACACATTATCATAAATTTTCAAGCTCTGTTCATCAAGGCATCAAAGCAAAGAGAACATGGAGATGACGTCTAAATTTACAATAATACTAATGTGTAGAGGCAAAGTCTACTGAGTATGAACACTTGAAGCAAAGAAGGCTAAATCTGAATGGTAAACATGGTGGTCTCAGTACACTGTTCATTTAAGGGTGTTTTTATGACATAAGAGTTTCTGGCATGCAGGTCTCTTAACTTTAGCCTGTGTACTCAAATGTGGAAGTATATGGGCCCATGGAATTCAGATCTGTAGAAGTGGTAGGATTAAATGTGGAGACTTAAAAAACATCTGAGTGACCTTACTGCAAATAGCTGTGGAGTGTGTGCACCCGGGCAACGCTGGATTGATTAACAGTGCACAGCACTGCTAATTCCAGTTCTTGAAGGTACCAGGCACTTCCAGAAATACTGGGAAAATTCCAGATGGCAAGTGCCCAGGAGAGAATGATTTGTTTTGCTAGGTTCTGCCAAACTAGACTCAATTATGAAGTTATCTGACATAAAGAAAAAGCCACACTTACAACTTCTGAACCGCAAACACCTTTCCAATCTCAGAATATTCAAGCCTAGACTAAGGAGGTTTTTCCTATTTGTGAACATGTGCCATTCTTCCATGAAGTATATACAGCTTCAGGGAGGCTATTCTTGCAAATCACAAATGAGCAAGACCCTCTGCACCACAGATGGCATCGTGCACAGATGACACCATCATAAGGAAAAGTGCGTGGAGACCTAGCTCCTCAAACAAGGTGGGATCCATTAGCTCTTCAAATGTCTAGCAAGAAGAAGATGACAAAGGCAGTAATAGTTGTGTTCTCCGCGAGATGAGAGAACAAGGAGCATGCTCAGAGGAACTTGAAAACTATTAGGGATCTGTTTTGTCAAATAATGAAAATAAGTAGATACTATATTAATGAAATAAATTACTTTAATCTTATTAATCACATAAATATTTCTTGGTTCCTGGGGTAATCCTATAAATGGGGTAGTCACTAAAATTCAAATTATCATGTTCTATAGTAAGTAATGTTTACAGTTTATATCATAGGTAGGAACAAGTATAGGAATAGCTTATGTGTACTAAAGAACTTCCTTTACTCCAACTTCAGGGAAAATACATTACACCTGAGTCATATAAACATACCATCATTTATATGAGAAAAGGACTTAATGAAGCACTCTCAGCTGTTATATATAATCATTAATTGAGATAATTTGAACTGATGAGAGAAACAGGCAATTTGAAATTATATTTTGCATAAAGAAAATTCAGTGTCCAATGAGCAAATAATAAATTATAATATAGACTGCAGTTAAGTCTCATTTCCCATATAAAGTTTACTCTTTTGCATGTCTTTTTACTTGCTTTTGACACTATCAGTTGTGTGCAGAAATTGAGTGAATTCTCTAAGAACTTTCTGCTTTTAGATAAACCCATAAATTTTGGTTGGGCAATATACTATTTTTAACTCTAGGGAAATTTCCTGAGCTCGCGCTCTCTCTCTCTCTCTCTCTCTCTCTCTCTCTCTCTCTCTCTCTCTCTCTCTCTCTCTCTCTCACACACACACACACACACACACACACACACACACACAGAGAGAGAGAGAGAGAGAGAGAGAGAGAGAGAGAGAGAGAGAGAGACTCTATTATATCAAAGTACTGACTCCTAGTATGGCTTTGGCTTTAATATTAAGAGGCACTGTGTAGGCAAAATGCATATCATGGATTTCTTCCCTCCTTCACCTTGTATTCTCCCATTACACTGAACCAGACATTTAGAATAATTTATTCTACTAAAGGTTGGAAATAGCGTATATATGAGTTTTTTCTTTGTAAGGCATTTTTGGAACAATGTAATTTCAACTAATTATAACATCTATATAAAATTTTATTTATACTTTTCTGGGTTCTAGATTGTCATGTTGTAGGGCTAGAAGCAAGTGAGTAGACAATTACACCCTTATAGAATACTTTTGAGCATACCAAATCAAACTGTTTCATTTCTTTTTTGCTGTTCAGGTGGAGTGTGGCCACTAGAGTGCAGGTGCTTGGAAGACAGAAAGAAAAGGGGAATTCTATGAGTCATGTGAATTTATACTGAGAAAATGTCATGTCTTCAATATGATACATATTACTGCCTCTCACTGCCTCTTCAAAAAGGACATAGAAAGAAGACTAGGTAAGAGTAAGTCCAGACCTATTTTTCTTTCTATGGATGCTGAAAAATAGTTAAGGTTAAATAGCAAAAGATAAGGGATGTTTAACTAAGAAATGGCAAATATATAAGCTAGCTAGTAACTGGAAATTAAGAGTACTCTAGTTTCTTTTGAGTAATAATTAGAACTTTGTGGGCATTTCAATGATATCAGTTTAGTTTCTTATCTTGAACATCTAAAATCTGGTATTCCTCTGTGACAGGAATGTATTCAGCACTAAAGTTGCAGATGAGCATGCTAGCTACATTCCTCCTGTCCTATGTGATTAGATAGGAACAGAAGCTTTAGGCCAACAGCCTTTGCTCAGTCTTTGAAAGATATAATTGAAAGAACAAGTATGTCAACAAATGCAGTTGGACCGGGAAGAGCAAATAAGTAGATTCATTTCTGTTACAGTTCTCTTATTGATTCAAGCAAGTTATGGCTTTAACTTAGAACATGTGTGTTACAGACATTCCTACTTAGAATGTCATGTTTCTGACATGACTCTGCACACCAGGTCCTGTGCTTTGAGATTCTTCCACACCCTTAAAGATCAATGCAATAACCATCGGAAGTGAATTAAGGCAACTGAGAAGCAGCAAAGGAAATGCAACTTGGCTTTGGTTTGATTCATCAGCAATTGACATAATTAAACCTCTTTCCAAGGAGAAAGGAAGGCACCCCCCCCCACACAGCATCTCTGCATGCAGGTGTCACAGCACACAGGTGTGACTACAAATCCTACGGTCACTGCCTTACTGTTCCTCTTCTGCTGTCTGACATGTATATTAGTTTAAAAAGATATTTTCAAAGAGTGCAAGGCATTCTTTTTGGAACTGTTTATGATTGACTAGAATGGTGTTTTTTTTTAATAACAGAAGTGGATATAAAAGGAATAACACACAAAAAAAGCTGACTCAAGATTGGGTGGAACCAAGTTAAAGAAAAGGGCACTGCAAAAAAAAATGAAGGACATTGTATGCTGTATGGTGTCACATATTGTCCTTATTCATTTCCTTAAGATATTGGCACATCCTGTTTTTATTAAATGATTGAAAATCATAAATATCTTTAAAAAGGCAAATGTTAAATGAAGAAAAAGCAAATCTGAAAATATGAACCTGTGAACCACATTTAAAGCAGTGGATTAAATTTAGGACAAACTCAAACCTCTAATGCTGATGTCATGAAAGTGCAGTGTCTAGGCAAAGTCTCCTAAGGAATAAGAATAGCACCCACCCTCTGCTGCAAAGAAAAGAGGAGGGTATTGCTAGAGGGGTGTCACTCAATAGGAAATCACTAAGTTCTATCCATCATAAAATTAAACAAGACATATACAAATATTTAATTTCAGTTGATATTTATAGGTTAGGAAATCAATGGATCTGTCAAAAGTGTCTTAGGAATGATTCTGAATCCCAGTTACTTTTGCTCAAGAAAATGAGAACATGCCAAACTAACCTGAGTGACAACCCTTCACGATATCAATACTGTGCCATAAACTATATTCCTAGAAGTCCCCAAACCTGTATTTTTACAAGTGTCTCCCCACCCAGCAAGCTCCAGTGTTCTGGTTCTGTTCTCAGGCAACAGGCAGTCAAAATCAGTAGGGAGCAGAATTTTCAAGTGTTCCCTCTACCATGAGGCATCTTCAGGGACTGAAGTCAAGGCCTGGGTTTCTTTTACTTTGCTTTTGCTTGTTTTAGTGAAGAATTCGAAGACTGTAGTAGGCTCCATAATGACCACTACTCTTGTCAGTTCTATTCCTGCAAATTACTCAGAAGATTAAGCTTGTGTCATTACTTTGGTTGGAAAAAAAAAAATAGAATCTTGCCTACTTGCAGGTGTCAACTAGGATTCTTGGTTATTTGGCTTGGTTATTGCAGCACAACATTGAATCTGGATTGAGCCCTGTTTTTTTTTTTTTTTTAAAGCCATAATTAAGCTTTATATTATGAGCTAAGATACAAATCAATGGGGTTTAGCTGATGTTCAGTCTCACTAAAATTCTAATTCAATTGATGTGTTAGGTAAAATTGTACAGGTTACTTGAGGTGGGGGTTGTTCTCTTTTCCAGCACCAGGGACTAATTACAACCCTTGAAAAAAAAAAAAAGAAAAAAAAACCCAGTGTGTGCAGATTAATCAAGCATGACTGTAAAAAAGGAGTTTTTTTTTTTTTTGCCAAACTTATTTTACAAACACTTTTTTTTCTGATGTTAGCAATCCCTTAATTTTTTAGCTTTTAGCATTTTGCCTTTAAATATATATTGTTATTTTAAAGCCACACTGTGAAACTGCAGACAAGTAAAACACATTCCCATTGTCTTCCTGGAGTTTTTCTTTTACTTAAAAATGACTATAATAATCTTTTTCTTTCAAATTCATTTATTTCTTTATGGTCTCCAGATACTCAGTGTTTGTGTGGATATATATTCTATGTGATTCTTTGTGTGTGAAAAGAGAAATAATTGTCTTCAATTTACTTCATAACAATGTCAAATAAAAAGGAACTTTGAGGAGAGACATTTTATGGAATTAAACATATGCTTAAGTAAGCCAGGCTTCTGGGATGCAGATTTCATTCTACAAATAAAAGTCAGTGAAAGATTTAAAAATTCTTCTTTCTCATCACAACATCCCAAGTCAAGTTTGCAAATAAGCCTCTGCATCGATTTTCTGTATACATCACCTCCAAATCTTAGTTTCATTGTTGTTTGTGATCATTTGTTTTACCTAAAATCCTTTCCAACACTTTGAAAAACACAAAGAAACTCATAAGCGAATTCATAAACACTGATTTGAGATGAGACATGTTACATATTGCTTTCTCTGTTTGACGGAGGACTGTGTGCACTTGAAAATTCGACAGTAACATCATCCTGTTTGGATCTGTTCAAAGCTTCCGATTCTCTGTGCAAATGGGTGGCTGATTTCTTCTTCCGTGCTCTCTCTCTCTTCCTTTCCTTGGCAAGGAGTCTATAGTTAATAGCGTTGCCGATGAACAGCCAAATGCCTGATATCACCACAATTGCCCCACTGGCCATGTACATAAATTTATAGTCTTTAGTTTTATCAACCAATTTACCTATAAGACAGAGAACAATGTTAAGTGAGTCTGATAAAATGACAGCATCACAACTGGGAGAAACTTTCTCAGACAAACTATATTCCTCTTATTTAAATTAAAATCAAATCACACTTTAATATAGAAAATATTGTAGCTAATATTCCTATATATACTCTCTCTCCTCTCTCTCATATATATATATATATATATATATATATATATATATATGACAAATTGGGACAAATATCAACAGGATTGCATTAAAAGTGTATCACATATATTAAAAACTATTTCTGCCAATAAAATAAGTGATCAAGATAAAGTAGACATACATGTATTTGTATATTCCTACATAGGAATATGAGGCATATTTTTATATACAGGCATGTGGCTTCATATGTATTTAACTATTACGCTGCATCAGATACTTTGAGATCACTATTTTCCCATGTTTCTTGGTTACTTTAATTTAATAATGGAAACTTTATAATATTTTGGAAGACCCAGTGGGCTTTTGTGTGGTTCACTACTGGCTTTGCTGTGCTCATCACAGACTGAGCATTTACCTGTACTGAACTCCTGTGTCGTGACTATGAAGTGATCTCACCATGTGGACAACAGATGCTTTTTTTTTTACAAAACTGCTTCAATTCTTTAGTTATCTAAACAAGGCCCGGCTGCTTTCTTTTCTTTCATCTTCATTAAGACCCATTTTATTAAATATATGTGTGTGTTTCTGTGTGTATGTATTTGTATGCATGTATTTGTGTGTGCCCCTTTGAGGCCAGAAGAGGAGTTACAGACCATTGTGAGTTCCCTAAGGTGGGTGCTGGGAACTGAATTCTGGAAGAGCAGAAAGTACTTTTAACTGCTTGGCCATTTCTCTACTCGCCAGACTGTGAACTTTAGATGAGGCCACTTCACAGCTCACCCTTTAAATCAGGTTGTAGAGTGCTCTCACCCAATCTCTTCCATAGGTGGTATGCCACTTTGGAGGTTAAACACCTTGGTTTTATTGAATCTGGAAGTTAACCTGGAAGAATTCCTTGGTTCCAATGAATTAAAACTAGCCTGGTGCCACTAAAGCTAAAGGCTAGCTGACATTATGACATTTTTTTTTTTTGAGCTCATGCTTAGTTTTTCCTTTTATTTATGAAAGCATCGTTTTCTTAATAACTCCTAAGGACAAACTTTGATGTGAAGAATTCCTAACTGTGATGTAGACAAGTGCCCCAGTCCCCATGCAAACTGACTAAAATATTGTTAGCACTAAGTGGAGCCACTTGAAATACTTGCCCACTTGAGAACAATTCTCTGGTTTAATTATGAATGGTTGCCTATGTGTATTTGCACTAAAACACCTACCACCTAAGGTCTTTGTGTTTCACACTGGCAGAGGGGCACGCAATACCACTAAGGCCTGACAACGACTTGCATGTCTTTCTAATCATTAGAAAATAAGAGATGGAATTTCAATGATAGCCTTAAGACTGAAGAGATAATGAATTTCCCATCTTCACTGAAGCTTCTTTATATTCTAAAGAAAACAGCTGAACAACTGACTATAGAAGGATGACAAATTGATATCAGCAAGGCTTTGAGTGCCAGGCAGGCAGGCTAAACCCAGGTGAATGAGTTTCCATTCCATATTCATTACACATATACAAGAATTGTTAGAGGTTACACTGCAACCATCAGCATCACCGCCACCCCATCATCAAAAATGCTTAAAATCTAACATAGAAGCTTATTTTAAATTAAATCATGCGTGTAATGCGTTTGCCATTTGCCTTTGTATTTTAAGTTTAAGTTGTGGAACTTCCTGTCATAGTTTCCTTCCAGGAGTGCTCTCAAATATATTTCTAAAGGAAGCCACAAAACAATCCTTACAAAAATCAACAAAAACCCAATGTTTCTATTGTAGCAATTTTACCCTTTTTTTCTCCCCCTTTCGGTCTTATCTTTCTCTGTCCTTCTCCCTTCCTTTTCTCATTCTTGCATCTTACTTTCTTTTCTCCTTTTCTTCATTCTTCCTTCATTTCTTTCTTTTCTTCTATTTTGGGTTTGTTTTTCATGACAGTTTTTTCTAAGTAGTTTTGATTGTACTGGAACTTGCTCTATAGACCAAGCTTGCCTTGAACTCAGGCCTGCCTCTTCCTCCTGAGTGCTGGCATCAAAGGTATATGCTAACACCACTGGCTATGTTTTTCTTTTGTTAATAAAAAAAATCAGGCTATTTTCTCAACTTTTTGATGTGATGGTACATACATGAACCTGGTTTCCTCAGTAGGAATTTTAGAATTGACACTTCTATAGACAATTTAGAAACCATTTCACATATTAAAAGTCTACATGTGGTCTTCATCACTTATGAATATGTAACAGATATTATTTACTCAAAAAACTAAACTTGAATGCATTTTTCTTTATCTTTGCATTCTGTATCAATGATATAAAAGTTAGCTACCTTAGGCAAAAACTCAAACCAACATAGCTAATGTACTCTCATAAAGACCCAGATTCTAATCCTTTCAGGATAATATTTTATATTTTTGCTTATTTCTATGTAAGCAAAATATGAATCTGTTCATCAAAAAACAGTCACACTTTATTCATGTGATATATTCTTAAATAATAAAATAATTGGTGCACATAAAAATCCTGAAGTTATACTAACCATGAATCTAATTTAAGCTCATTATTTTCTAAGTCCAAATTTTGAGTGAAAATTTCAAGTACAAAACCTCTCCAGTCTTTTATACAACTAGAGTTAGTCAAAGCCACATTAATCACTGCAAAGAAATATTTCTTCATATATATTTAGGTTATTCTTAAATATTCTTACCAGCTATAGGAGGGCCGAGAAGAACGGGGCAACACTCCACAATGGTGACAAGTCCCACGGCACTGGAAAACCTGACAGGTCCAACAAGGTCCATGAGAGTTTCAAAGAGGACACTGCTAACACTTCCAAATCCCAAACCAAAGACTACAGAGTAGAGTACCAATGCCGGGTAGGTATCTGCCAGGGGGCAGAGGAGATGGCATACGCCAGTGAATATAACTGCAAAGCTGAAGAAGTACTGAATGCGTGGACGGATGAACTTGGAGTTGGCTATTAATCCTCCACAAGGTCTAGCAAACATATCCACAAAAGCCATCACAGACAGCAACAAAGCTGAGTTATATTCATCCACTCCTTTGTCTTTAGCATATGGAGCCAAGAATATAATAGGGGCAAAAAACCCTAGAAACATAATGACATTTCCAGATAGGTAGATCAAAAATCCTCTGTGCTTAAAAAGGCTGAAATCTAAAAGTTTATTAATTTTTTCTGCTGTCGATTCCTTATTGACTTTCTTCATAGTTTCAACATGTCTTGGACCAACCTTACTTTTAGACTTGGACTGATGTGTACTTTGCTGGACAGGTCTCATGAGGCACCCAGCCACACAGGAGTGCAAAAATATGCTTCCCAAAATCAAGAAGCTCCCCCTCCAGCCGTAACAGTTAAATAGGTACTGATTGAAGGGAGCCAACAAGCTTAAGAAAACAGGACTTCCAGCCATGGCCAAGCCGCTTGCCATGGGCCGTTTCCTGTAGAAGTATTTTCCGAGTATTGTTAAGGCTGGTTGCAGGTTGAATGCTAATCCTATACCTAAAATAGAAAACAAAGGGGGAAAGAAAACACAAGCATATTATATCACTCTCCCAAGAAATTCCTCAAAATGTGCACTATACAGGATAAGAGAGACTGGTAGCAGTGGATTCCAATCTTTGCGGATTACAAGTGGAAATATAATTGTACAAAGAACTAAATTGGTTTTCATAAAAAAAATAGTAAGAATGTTTTCCGAGCCCTTTATTTTAAAGAAGTAAGATGAAGAACTACTGAGGTATGACAGAGATACAACAGAATAGGCTATAGCAAAAATATAATTATGAATTCTTAACCAGAATCATGTAATCTCACAGATAAATTAACCCCTTCCTTTTCACACAGGCTTATATGCAAATAAACAGGCTCTATTCACTTCTAGTGAGAATGCGGATAACTCTGTTAGTGCAGTGGAATGGTGCACTACAAGACTCCCAATTTTCAACCATCTTCTACCTCCCCATAAACATTCCTGTTAACACCATGTCATCATAAAACAGAGAAATAAGTTTACCCCATTATTTCATTCCACATCCATCTCATTCTAAATTGAGCATCTAGAGATGGGTTGAATAAAACTATTTTTGGAATATATTTTATTTTGGGGAGTTTTAGTTGATTCTTTGGGGCCAAGATCCCACCATGAAATCCTTGGCAGTGCTGGTCCCACCTTTGAGAGACAAATTCCTTCTTTCAGATCACCCAGACATGACAGTATTCAGCTGTATGTATGAATCTTTCTTTTATAAACAGACAAATTGACTTATGTAAACCATCTTCATTGCAACATTAGCATTGGTACTATTCTATTTGTAAAGGACTCTTGAGGTAAGAATCCTTTAGCCTTCTAATTTGAATGAATTGAAACCATGTTGCTAAATGGTTAATAACTCATCTCTGTGCTACACAACACTAAGTCCAGCTCTTGATGACATTTTTCTGAAATAAACTTTCCCTCAAAGCTGTGGAAGGAGTCAAAACTATAATTTAGGAAAAACAGGCTGCGACCAGCCCACTTTCTTTCAAGCACACCACTGAGATGGATATGCAGACTGGGAATAATGAGATTGATTCCTGACAGCTTATGGGGAGGCAGCTTGTAAGCAGAGGATCTGAACTAAAAACCCAGGTATCAGATTTCATTTATCTTTCTTCATTTTCTCCCTGATAAAAGTGGAGAACATTTGTTTTTAGATGTTATATCAAGAAAAGTGATGCACCAGTGACACTGGGACCCAAATACATGAAATTGTTTTGGAATGGGAATAGTGTCCGTGTATAGGTATGTTCTAGCATAGGAACATCAAAACCATGACCTCTTTACTACACCCTCGCTCTCTTCGCTGCTGAGATAGAAGATAGTTAGGACATAAGGGACATATGGATATCCTCTCCACAACAGCAATGCTGAGCTCCGATATGTAATGCTTAGATTTGGCATTTAAAGGGGTTTTCCATATAAAAAGTCAGATTAACACAGAAAGGTTACAAATACAGACATTTTTTTGTCAGTATTATTGTTTATTGTTCTCAGTTTGCAACCCAGGTGGGTCTTGAACTCACTATATAGCTCAAACTAACACTGGACTCAGAATCTCTTGCCTCAGTTTCCCTAGTGCTGGTTTGTGGTGCATTTGTACCCCAATGTCTGCATGGCAGCCTGCAAAGCCTGTTGTCTTCGTCAGATGGTTTACATGTATAAATGTGGATGGATCTCAAATCAAACATGAGACAAAAATGTTCATTTAGCCCTTATTATCTATTCTTCTCTTAAAACATGAAATGTAGATTTTTAAATAAAATTTATTGATAAGGAAAATAAAAATCTTGCTCTTCTATATACAGTTTATGTTGGTTGAAGTGAAAGGGAGGACTTCCTCATGAGGCAATGTGATGTCATTCTTGACATTTGTGAGAGTGCTGGTAAAAGCAGGACGTTTCAATAAGGGAGAATAGATGAAGGCTAAAGAGGTTTCTCTGTCACTCATTAAATCACAATTGCCAGTGACTTTTTTTCTTTTTTTTTTTTTTTTTTTGGGATTTTTTGAGACAGGGTTTCTCCGTAGCTTTTGGTTCCTGTCCTGGAACTAGCTTTTGTAGTCCAGGCTGGCCTCGAACTCACAGAGATCCGCCTGCCTCTGCCTCCCAAGTGCTGGGATTAAAGGCGTGCGCCACCACCGCCCGGCTGCCAGTGACTTTATTGTTGACGAAAATATATACTTGACACTATTTTTAACTTATATGGTAAGTCAAATACTCTAAACAGGAATAAAAAATGTTTCATAAACAAAGTCGTTATACTAGAAGGTATTTACAATATCACCTCAACTGACTCAACAGGAAAAAGTAACCAAGTCAAAAACAGTCAAAGCTTTTTTCATGTCCATATCTGTGGAGTGACACATGACTGGATGATAACTTTTAAAGATCATTTCTTAAAATGAAATGTTTCACCCTACTGTAGGAAGTACTTTAATGATTCAGGTTAAAAAAACCCCAGAATAAACTTGCTTTTTAAAACAAATGGAAACAAAACATTAAGAATTTATAACTTCTTCGTACTTTTTATACCATTTAGATGAGAGCAGAACCCGGCTCACCTCCAATTAAGCCAATTGTGAGGTAAAGTTGTATCACACTGTTACTGAAGGAAGCCAAGATCATTCCGGTACAGCATAGCAACCCTCCAGTTATCACCACAGGCCGGCTGCCATAGTTGTTCACCAAGATACTACTGACAGGACCTGAGGTAGAAAAATGAAAAAGAAATATTAGTTGAGGGGGACAAAGACTTATCCTTAATATGTCTTTGTTCTGAATGCCGGGAAAGTGCAGTTTAGCAATCAAGGCAGATTAGTTCATGTGTGGTAAAATTGGGATTGTCTAATGTGTCACGTAGATTGGTTTGTTTTTAACTTTTAGTTTTGCATTACTTTTTTTTTTTTGAGACAGAAGTTTCAAATTCTTAGAAAAAGTGTGATCCTTCTGTCCCAAAGTCCTGATTATCTGGGACTAAAGGAAAGTATCACCATTAGTAAAGCTGATGAGTTACTTTCTTTCATTTACTTTATAAAAATTTCTTTTATTTTAGTGTGTTATGAAGTGTGTGCATGTCTAGTGTGTGTGTGTCTGTGTGTGTGTGTGTCTAGTGTGTGTGTCTGTGTGTGTGTATGTGTGTGTTTGTATTAAGGTTAGGAGAGGTTAATTAGATTCCATAGAGTTAGTATTACAGCTGCCAAATGCAGGTGCTGGAAAACAAACTTAGGTCTTTGCAAGAGCAACAAGTACTTTTAGCTGCTGAACCCACTGCTCCGAACCCTGGTAAGAATTTTTTAACACCACATTATAAAAACACACTAAAATAAATTGGAAACATTTAATATGTATAGATTTTTAAAACTGATACCAATCAAATGTAATGCAAAAGTTTTCAATGGAACACAGCTAAACAGGACTCAAGCATCTCTCCAATGGTGGTAAACTCACATTACAAAAATCACAGAATTATATACAGCTTTAGCCTACATTTCAGAAATAATGTGTGTGTAGGTATATAAGTCATTAACTGGAGCTCACATTCTTAGGTACACTCAGATATAGTTTTTCTTTAATACCATATTTTATTGACTCTTATTTTTTCCTAATATTTTATTCTTAAAATTATGTGTGTTTAGTGCATACATGTATGTGTGCATGTGTGCATGTGTGTGTCTGGGCATATGTGAACATGAACACATGCATGCATAGGTATAAACATGTCAGTGCTGAAGCCTTCAGAGGTCATAACAGGTTATCAGGTTCCCTGGGCTGCAATGCCTTGAAGCTGTCTTTCAGGCCCACATTTCCTTCATTTAAGCTTCTGATTGTGGTTAGTCCACAGCAACCACAACCCCACCAGTATAGCTATCACATTATACATGCTTAGGTTATATATTACATTCCATGATTTACAAGACCATGAATAATCACTCACACGTTAACCATATGAAAGACATTTTAGCCATATGAAAATGAATACTGACGTTGCCCCAGAGTTCTTTGTGCGACCCATTCTCTTAGTGACACGTAAGCAGCGGCATGAAAGCTTTCAGACGAGCTCAGCGCCTTGGAGGAAGCTGCCTGAGGTCAGAGGTAATCCTACCTCGCCTTGCCGGCAAAGAGAACTCTGAGGCCTGAGTCTGAGACTCAAAGGAAGGAGTTTCAGGAATAACTTGCAGAATTTATTTAACATATATTTCCAATACATTTGGGTGGGTGTACATGCAAATAAAACCACATGGGAATAATTAAGATCACTAAAATCACGTATATTTAATTAACTGCAGGGACGCTGTTTTAGGAGTTATAAAATAGAAGTTTGCAAGACAGCAAAGTAAATGCTATCTACACAAGTGTTTTACTTGTGTAGATAGCATTTACTTTGCTGTCTTGCAAAATACTAATGCAACTTAATAAGTGAACGCATGTGATGAAAGTCGTCTTTCTACAATCTGCCGGTGAAGAAACAATTTCCTTTGACATCTCTTCCGTACCTGAAAATTACATTTCACCTGCTACTAGGAGTACTGCTTTATGGAAAATAAATACAACATTAGGTCAGAATTGTCCGTCAAAATCAGATCTAGAAAAATAATTTTTTTTCCAATGCTTCAGGACAGGGTTTCTCTGAGTGGCTTTGGAACCTGTCCTAGAACTGTCTTTGCAGATCGGGCTGGCCTCGAATCACAGAGATCCACCTGCCTCTGCTTCCCGAGTACTGGGACTAAAGGTGTGCATCACCACCACCCTTGTAAAAAATAAATTTTTAACCTATAGTACAATTTCAAATTTTGCTGAATTTGATCATATTGTATTTTAAAATACGTATGTGGCTAAAGTTAACATATATTGAAATTCAGTTACCATTATGTTTACATTCTTTCAGTAAATATAATTAGTTACCATGTAATCTTCAAATGTGATAACTAATAAAATATAAAATCTTATATTTAAAGTAGTAGACAAGATAACATTTTTAAAAGACCTTATGGAATACATGCACTTCCAAAACTGCTGAGAAAAAAGAGTAAAGGGAAATGATTACAAGAAATGAGAAAAGCACAATTATGTGCTTGGTATGGTAAAGGTTACTTGAGGACATAAGAACAAAATAATTACACATTATATAATACTTAATATGGTCCTATTATCTAGAAAAAGGGGCATCTCCTTTGGAAGGCACATACCAGAACTAAAAAACTTTGAGTGGAAAAAAATCACTAATAAAGTAAGTCTTATTTTTCCTAGAAAAGGATTACAAATGGGTTCTATCGTACAGAATATAGCCATACAGAATATCATTTAACTAATGCACACAGTTTAATGTAAAATTATTTATTAAGGTTAGAACATCCATTGTATCTTGACTGAAATCTTTGTAGAAATGATAGAAGGAACACAAGCATCACTCACTGTTACCTTGACTTTCTTTAAGTAATAGTAGCAAATGACAAAGGAAGCGTTGGATGAGATGGACACAACCCATGGGTGTAGATATAAAAATAATTGAATATAAGAATAAATTGGTCATGATTAATTATTAAACTGAGGTATAGATGATGATTCATAAAGGCTTTTTTCCTCTTTTCTCAAAATTAGTTAACTGACTCAATGTAATTAAGCTTCATTGGAGTCAGTTAACTTCACCATTGCTTAAGCTGATAAAGTGGATTAAGTTGGATAAAGCCAACTGACTCATGTAAAGAACAACATAGTAAGAGAAGCACACTATAATCTGAAAACGACTCTAATCTAGGAAAGGAAACAATGAATGCAATTTTATGAAGGACGATAGGTGTTATGATAAACAGTAAACACATGATCTAAGGTGTTCACCAATTATTAGGACCAACAGAGTATACATTCTTGGCTCTTGAATTGCAGACTCCATTTTTTGTGTGGTGATTGAACAATGCATGGATAAAGTACATAATTAATGACTATATTCATCAGTATCTTTGCTTAGATTGCACAAATACAAACTTGCGCTTAAGCCATGAATCGCAATTTAACTTTTAATATACGGCAAACAATTATACATCTGTACCCATTGGTTGAGTCAATCGTATCCAATACGTCTGTACCCATAGGTTACGTCAACCTCATCCAATGCTTCCTTTGCCATTTGCTGCTTTTAATTAAGGAGAGCTATGATGACAGTTAATGATGCTTGTATTCATTCTATCACTTCTACAAAGATTTCAGTCAAGATATAGTGAAAGTTCTAACCTTAATGAACTAATTTTATGTTAAACTGTGCTTTAGTTAAATGATATTCTGTGTGGGTATACTTATATAACTCATCTGTAATCCTTTTCTAGCAAAAATAAAATTTACTTTATTAGTGATCCTTTCAGAAATATCCCAACCTCTTTTCTTCTTAACATTAGCACTTAGGGAATTCATAAAGTATTCTTGGTTTGTAGGAGCTATGAATAGATTTTAAAGGTATGATATAAATTAAGATATTTTTTATGGAAAGAATCCATAAATACTCACTAATAGCCAGAAGAGACATTGAAAGTAATCCCCACTACCAAGAGACACATCTCTTCAATATATTAACAGTTTGGTTTATTATAAAAAAAAAGAAAGGGGAAGATGAAAGAACAGCAGACATTCTCATGATACAGAGTATTTCTTAGCTATCAATTGGCTCTGTAACCAAAAGTGTTCCTTTTTCAACAGTCTTAGGACTGCTTACATCCTAAATGTACTTATTTATTTCCTTTTTGTCAGTAAGTCTTAATGTTTAAAATCAGTGTATTCTTTATGTAATCACAATGCTTAATAAACATATTGAACATATGGTTATTAGTTATATATAACATATATTTAGTAGATATGGTATATATTATGGTTATTAGTCATATCAGTGATGAACAGTCCCATCTGCAGTCCCATACCTGACTCATTAAAATACTTCTATTTGATAGTCAGCTTCATAGACAGACACACACACACACACACACACACACGCACGCGCACACACACACAGTCTTACACAAAGGGTGGGTATAAAAATAACTTTTATTTCCAAAACACAATAAGATTAAATTGCATGCTTATAAGACAGGTCCAGACATGAGTTTGTGTGATACTCATTTCTAAACAATCTCAGAATTATAGAAACTGGTCACTTCCATAAAATTGCAGTAATAAAGTTCATGAGAGAATAGTATACGCCTCACAGCATGTCAGAGGTCCTGTAGCACCAATGGATGCTAGCATACAAAACATTCTCAGAGGTCCTGTAGCACCAATGGATGCTAGCATACACAACATTCTCAGAGGTCCTGTAGCACCAATGGATGCTAGCATACACAACAAAAGTGGATTTCTTCTCACTTCATGTGTCATGCTCATGCATTTTATTATACATTTTTACAGGTAGCTGCCATATCCTATTATTAGTTAACTGCAATTATGATTATGTCTTCCAGATAGTGTGCTAAGATTTGTAAAGGCAGTATTTCATAGACTTGCCATGGCAATCCCATGACTGAACTGCATAACAAAACCTAACTGTTAATGAAATTGAGGTGCGAATACTTTGATTTATTTATGGGTCTCTGACTATTAGGTAGTAAAATGTAGATTGAGTCAGGAACATTTGACAACAGAACCGTTTTAATGAATGTGCCAAGAGTATTCACTATGATGGATTTAAGACAACTAGACATGTTTGCTTCCAGTGCGGAATCTT